AGCAAAATCAGAAAGCCCATGGCCAGGGTGGTCATGCGCCCGCCCAAGGTTTGCGCATGAAAATCATGGGCGTTGCTTGCGAAGAGCCCATTGAAGCCGATGTAAATGGCCTCCACCACGGCTGCTGGGAGGCTGACTTCGGCGAACAGGCCCCGGCTGCCTTCGGGGACCCCAGGACCGTAACGCTCCTGGCAAATGCCGGATTGATGGTGGTGATTGGGGCATGGTGCCAAGCATTTTTTGATGATGGGATGTTAGATATCTATGGGTATTCCAAGAAATTTCTAGGAGATTCGCTGAGAAGAAGAGATGTGAACCAATTCATATAGGAATACACTGACCGGTCGGCTAGCCTCTGGGCGTAAGAGCTCTTTGTAAATACCTTGGGGTTCTTTCTTGATACGCCAGAGCTATTGGTAAGTTTCCCAGAATCATTTCAAAAACTATACCATCTATACTATACCCAATTGCTTCCAACAAGTATGGGATGCGTTCTCAAAACAATCCTTCCACAGCCTGAAACCCAAAGTCCTGGACCATCACCAGTAGGGAAGCGACAAAGAGGAAAGCAAGGACACAGAGCCATACACGCGCAGTTAAGGGCGAAAATGCCTTGGTGATGTTTTGAAGAAACCCGTTGGACTGCGCCTTAGGCGCGATCAAATACACGGGCTCGGCCCAGAGATCCAGGTTCAGGGAAAGCAAATCTCGGGCTGGCGTGGCAGTAAAGGCACCAACACAAATATCGACAAAGCCCATGCCTGTGGCATACGCACAAGCTGTAAAGGCACTTGTCTGCTGATCACGGTTCACTTGATCGATGACCTGTTCCGGATATGCACCAGGATAATTGGCTAAGGGGCCACCATAGAAGGTCATCGACACGTTCGGCACAGAGCCTGTCCTTTGGATCACATCGTTCACCAAAGACCATGTTGGTCCAGAGCAGCCTTCATTTCTGTCGCAGTACGAACCTTTCCAGCCACCAGAGTTGGTCATGAAAACCACGTTGATCGTTTGCCCTTGGAAAGTGCGACCTTCCACATATTCCTTACATTTGCGATCCAAGGGGGACAGAAAATTCACTTAAAACATCGTCCCAATAGATTGCCCAAATGCTGAATTAACCATATTACCCCTAAATATCCCTGTGGATGTAACCATACCAGTATCTACCCCGTGGCAAAAAAAGAATGCCAATGACAATCATGTTTCATCATGTTCTCCAAGATTCAGAGGTGAACCGGTCTAGGTAGCCACATTGGGAGTAGGAGTAGAAGCGGCCCACCCTGTAGGACGAGCTTTTTGAAGCTAGGGTGCAACTGGGGGCGACGTAGCGCCATGCATCGCCGCACCATTTCTCGGGCTCACTGGAAGCACAGGCTGTGAAGGGACCTGATGTTTTCCAAACAAGTCGCAAAATGACTTAGACTTAAACCCCTCAAAAAAATATGGTCCGAACCCTCGTCATCTTGTCGAACAACCATCTTACAGTTTGCATCTATATAATTATTTCCGACCACAATGCGGCCTAGAGTCTTACCAAATGAAGGTTTACCCTTCATCAAGTTCTTGAAAAACATGGGTTGTTTTAATTTTGTGGGGAAAATGTTTGAACTCCAAACATCCAATTTTGTGTCATCGGTTTCCCGATCACACTTGCCATTCAGTGGTGCAACTCCTTCGCGGCCAAGCCGCCATCCAGGTCATGTGTGCCGCAGCCGATGCCGTAGCTGAGATTGGTCTGATTCCTGCAAGAGGTATTAGCATGTATCAGTCAAAAATTCTGGCCTAGACCCTATGCAACAACAGATATTGGTCATGTTCTAATCTTACAATATAGTACCTGAAATCTTCAGCATCCAAGTTTTGGGGCGCCCAAAAAATTGAGCCATAGCAAATTGGTGTCCAGGACATCCCAGGACCATTGGAATCAATGTCGGCTCGCAAAATCCATGGAGCATGTGGCTAAAAAATTGCACTCCAGGGGAAGGGCCAACCACGAAGTGACCTGCGGTTGCTGTCATCCTTTGTGATTACTTGATGGGGTCTAGCTGGTAAGACATCTTAAGACCCAAAGATCCCAAAGATCCTCCTGAATTGGGCTGCCATGCCGATTTCTCTGAAAATCGGGACTGCAAAATCTCGATGAAAATCCCATGGTTCATCATTTTCCTGCATCAGGCTGCCTTATCCCAGGTTGGGGTACCTCAGTCTTGGATGTGCCACCCGCACTCCTGCTAAGGCCCTCGATCTCGCGATTGAAGCTATCGTCCTTCCCTTCAGCATAGGACAAGCAGCGGCAACTCAGGGCCGCCACTGTGTCGCAGGCGAGGACCAAGAAACATCGCCAAAACATGGCTGGAAAGATTGATGCCAAATGGGGACCGTAGGAAATTATAATAAATTATTGGGCATGTGATATGTTGAAATTATATGAACTGATTGGGTGATGGTTAAGATCTCGCATTTGCAAACATGTTTGCATGATTTGTGTTTCAATCAGTTTACTAAATAGATCATCGCTTTCGAAGTTGTTCGCCAGGGCAGCTTTGTCCCTGCACTCTTGAGGGGTGGACACAGGGCAGATGGTCAATGACCGTGGTATACCGTGGTCAAGCTGTCAACTTGTGCCAACGTCCAGCCAAATGAAACACATAGTGCATCATTTATACTACTACGATCTACTACGTTTTGGCTTGCCACGGTAGAAAAATATTTGATCTGGTTTATGATGTTTTTTCTACGTGTTGTCAGCACGGGGCCGAAGAGGATAGCAAAGATGGAAGGCGAAATTCATCAAGAATATATTATATAATCCATCCCTTACCCCAAACTTCCTAGAAACCATGGTTCACTATTGGATCCTTTCGATTCTGGGCCGAAAAGACCCGCTATGTGTTTTTTATATAGATGTTTTTTTGTTGGTGCTATTGACAAGTCTGAACCAAACAAAAATACATGGACTGTGCATGGTCCCTTGCCCTGCAGCGCACTGGCTTCAACTGGACCCTCGTGCCATGCCCTGGCAGGATCAGCAGCTCCCACGATGTTCTCATCAGAATCGTAACGCACGAGGGATGCCATTCCCCCGACAGATTTTCGGGTGGTATTCAAGGGCAAAGGATCCCAAGGAACAAACGTACTTGGAGGATAATCCCACTTAAATGACTGGGCGAAAAAACTCCAGGTAATAAGATGCAATAAGTTCCCTAAGTGGGTTAACTATAGTCACTTTTCCAAATTGGGATCATCTTCTAAGTAGGAACGAACATTGCAAGGAACTCTACGCGGCTCCCGGCCGGTGAGCTTGGTGCTGGCACTGGAAAATGGTTCCAGCATGGCCATGATCAAAACATGGTCTGTTTGGTCATTCCATAATGGATGACAATCCTCTACTACGGGGCAATTACTCATAAATAATCATCAAAACCTATATCCTGTGGCAAACTCAATCATAAAATATCTTAAGCCATCCCCATGTTCGTTTCTTATTGGGCTTACCACAGCGATCCAACTTTTGACCATGGCATGCTTTGCCGGCACAGGAACAGAACTCCAACCGAACAAATGCACTCACGGTTGAGGTTCACCGATCGCGCCCCTTGGACTAAAACATTGCGACCAACGAAAGCCCAACTTTTAATCCCCGTTTGGAAATTTCAGATATGTGAGTACATATATCCAAACAAGCATTTATATATACATATCCCCATGGACAACTCTACTTTTAGAGGGGGGGGATGGTAATACATTAAAATTACTAAGTAGGGCTATGAGTATGGTTAAATGATAGGGTTTCGCGCTTCATCCCAGAGCAGCAAAAGGGGGCAAACATGGGTTTCAATCCAGCGTGTCCTTATTCCATACCTATGCCACAAGAGTCGGGCCCCGAACTTCAGGCCCCGAACAGGGTGCCCCCAAGCAACTTTGTAGCAAAGGCATGTACGCAGAAGCACATGTAAGTGAATTCTGATGATGTAATCAAATGTTTTTTGGCATACCTGTGCCACAAGAGTCGGGCCCCGAACTTCGGGCCCCGAACTTCGGGCCCCGAACAGAGTGCCCCCAGGCAACTTTGTAGCAAAGGCATGTAGAAGCACATGTATGTGAACTCTGATGATGCAATCAAATGTTTTTTTGGCATACCTGTGCCACAAGAGTCGGGCCCCGAACTTCAGGCCCCGAACTTCGGGCCCCTATCTTCGGGCCCCGAACTTCGGGCCCCGAACTTCGGGCCCCGAACAGAGTGCCCCCAGGCAACTTTGTAGCAAAGGCATGTAGAAGCACATGTATGTGAACTCTGATGATGTAATCAAATGTTTTTCGGCATACCTGTGCCACAAGAGTCGGGCCCCGAACTTCGGGCCCCGAACTTCGGGCCCCGAACTTCGGGCCCCGAACAGAGTGCCCCCCAGGCAACTTTGTAGCAAAGGCATGTACGCAGAAGCACATGTAAATGAATTCTGATGATGTAATCAAATGTTTTTCGGCATACCTGTGCCACAAGAGTCGGGCCCCGAACTTCGGGCCCCGAACTTCGGGCCCCGAACTTCGGGCCCCGAACAGAGTGCCCGCCCCCCAGGCAACTTTGTAGCAAAGACATGTGCAAGACTACGTATGTGAGCTTTGATGTGCTGACTCTCATTTCAGATGCCTTTGAGCATATCACCCAGGCATGAAGATGCCCGAGCAAACAAACGTTATCGTTTGAGCGAAGATCAATTCAAGAAGATTGCTTTGTATGATGGCCTGGTCCAGGATGATGATATATTTCCAATGTTTCGGCGGGTGCGACAATGTTCTTCTATGGTGTCTCCCACAAGGACCATCCTTGAATGCTAGATGACATTAAATGACTGCCTTTAGTTATGGACTAGCTTTGCCTTGGCTAAATCCTGAGGATTTAAACGAGGCAGAGGGAAATATGGCGAGGCAACCTGTGTTGACTTGCTGAAAAGAGGCCTGCCTTGCTTAAATCCTCAGGATTTAAACGAGGCAAACTTTTCGCCTCAAAGTCTGGAATTCGCGGAAAAGTTTGCCTCGTTTAAATCCTGAGGATTTAAGCAAGGCAGGCCTCTTTTCAGCAAGTCAACACAGGTTGCCTCGCCATATTTCCCTCTGCCTCGTTTAAATCCTCAGGATTTAGCCAAGGCAAAGCTAGTCCATAACTAAAGGCAGTCATTTAATGTCATCTAGCATTCAAGGATGGTCCTTGTGGGAGACACCATAGAAGGACTAACAGCATTCAAGGATAGTCTCTGTGGGATTTGCCCAGATAGAAGGACATTGGCAATTGATTTAGGATTCTATCATCATCCCTGTCGGAGAAAGCCATTGTCAATTGATTCAATTCAAGGATAATCCTGGTAGGAGAAAACCATTGTCATTCCTACAGGTACTGACGTCCCGGGCGCCTTGTAGCTCACCTTTCAGAAGGGACACCAAAGGGGGCTGTGCCTTGCACGCCCTTCACTACTTTCTGACATGGCAATCAGGATCCGGGCCAAGTACCAAACCCGAGGGAAGGCGGAAGCAATGTGGCTAGGGTTGAAAGAAGCTGCATCATCATGCATCTCTGAATTCGGATCACTTCCCCGCTTTCTTGACGACTTGGATCTTCTTTCTTCTCTGACTCTCTCTTCTCTGACACTCTCTCTTCTGACTGCAGGATGAGACTTTGAATGGTGAAGAGCTGATTCCCATTTCCGTCTGGGAGATTGACAGTAAGTTCTTGTTGCTTCCAGAGCACAGAGCCCGAGACGGAGCGGAAGGCTTGAGGGAAGAGGAGCACTGGTACCCGGCAACCCGGCGACCCGGCGACCCGGCGACCCGGCAACCCGGCGACCCGGCAACCCGGCGACCCGGCAACCCGGCAACCTATAATAGAAAACGAGGAGAAAGAATAGAGTAGAGGAGAGAGAAAGAGAGCAGAGAGGATAGAGTAACATAGAGAAACAAAAGAGGCTGAGAGGAAAGAAATGGAATGAAATGGAAAGAGAAAAGGGGTTAAAAAGACATAAAAAGACTACAGGGAACAAAAAGAGAAAACAGGAAACAAAAGATAATGAAAGAAGAGGAAAAGATAGAGAATGCAAGAGTAAAGCGGAGGAACCCGGCAACAGAGGAAAAGATCATGTTAAATATACCATACCAAAAGAAACCTTACATTTCCTCAGGTTTCCCAAATTGATGTATTATCACATGGGGGTACACCCCCCCTCCAATACAAAAGTTAAGTCACGGGGATATATACATACAAACACACCAGTATATATTATTTGCACATACACATACCTATGTATATATATATATGTAATAACATACACATATACATGTATATATATATATATGATATGTATGTATATATATAATTTAGATTTATACATATACACATACACATACCATACATATACATATACATATACATATAGATATACATATACATAAACATATACAAATACATACACATATGCATATACATATACACATACAGATACAGATACATATACATATGCATATATACATTTTTGCATATATACACAGAGAACGAGCATTCGTGGTGGATTTTGATTTTGCCACTTCATGCCACTTCAAGTGGCGTGCCACTTCAAGTGGCGTATGAAATCTCAAGTGGCGTGCCACTTTGAGTGGCGTGCTGACTGTGTAGCCTTCGCGTTCCGAGTGGCGTATGCTTCCGTCTGACGTGATTTGGGTGTGAGATTTTGCACCTGCCAGGGTTCATCAACTACTCGCTAGTTGTCTAAACATGTTGACGTGCTCAATGAACGGATCAGAAGTTCTAACGTTACTTATTTTTCTAAAAAGTAGCTAGTATGTTCACTCTGACAGAAGCGCTAGCGGCACTGCTCCGAGTCAGAATTCATCGTCTGTACTGTCGTCAAAGGGTTCATCTAGCGCTGCAGCCGAACCTTCTGGCTCTTCCACTGGCTTGTGAGAACTTTCCACTCCGGCCATCCTTGGGCGCGTTGCGCTCTCACACCTATCTGCGATTTCAACTGCTTTAAGCGCACCTTGTGCTTGGAACTTCATCCACCAGCCACCAGCTGAAAGTTGAGACAGCCACTTTGGAATGGCTGAACAAGCCCTTAGCGTTCATATGGTAGAGCTCAAAGATGCACCGGTAATGATCAGCCAACTGCCAGTACCAGAGACTGGTGCCACGGTCGTTCTCCAGGCCCTCCACAATTGAAATATACCACCTCTATAGAATCACAATCCCCTCCAACCATGCGCGTCCCAACTTAGAATATCCTATACATTTGGGATCACCCCAGGTCAAAACCTACGAGTTGCCAACATGCTTAAAGTAAAATGGTTACACGAAAATCTAACCTCTCAATGTTATAAAGAAAATATAGCTCGATATTTACGGGTATCATTGTTATAAAAACAAAAAGAACCGGAGCACCGGAGCTTGGATGCACAGCAGCCATCCACGGCCCCACGAGTGAAACGAACCCCTGGCCTTCATAGAGAAGCGTCGCTCTAGGTCTGCTGCCACTGTCCATCTTGTGCATCAGCCTGCAAAGAGTAGAACAAGTTGGAAAAGCAGTACATAGTCGAAAACACGAACCGAAACAGAAACAAAACGCGAGACATCTAACTCCAAGTGTGATTTAAATCATAATCACTCGCCACCAACATCGATCTACTCACCATGCAGGCCCTCCAGCCTTCCAGTGTCCTTGATACTGGCAACTCATAGATTGCCAAACTCCATTGCCAAACTCATAGTTCTGGGTGCCAAAACCCTGCATTGAGAGTCTTTTCCATATTATGTTTATACATTCCGTACTTTCTTCTTGAAATAGGCAACCTTGGTTTTGCACAACTGGGGATTTGAAGGTTTCGCAATTAGATACGTCTTTTCTAATTAGAATCTCCTTTTTGCAAATTAAACCACAAGAAGTACCTGAAACGTGATTGAGCTTCAAAACCTTGGAGCCACAATCAGTTGCGGCCGGCGATGGACCAAAAAGATCCAAAAAGCTATCACTGCCCCGGTTTGGACTCTAACCCACTTGAGAAATGACTAGTGTTAATTTCCACTTTCCCTCCTGCGTGACGTCTTACATCCTAAGTATTGTCGGAGCAGCTATGGTGGTAGTAGTAGAAGTAGAAGTAGAAGTAGAAGTAGAAGTAGAAGCAGTAGTAGAAGAAGAAGTAGTAGTAGTAGTGGTAGTGGTAGTGGTAGTAGTAGTAGTAGTACTGGTAGTAGTGGTAGTAATGGTAGTAGTGGTAACAGGAGTAGTCGTAGTAGTGATAGTAATAATAGGAGTAGTAGTAGTAGTAGTAGCAGTAGTAATAGTGGTAACAGTATGTAGCAGTATGTAGCAGTAGTAGTAGTAGTAGTAGTAGTAGTAGTACTAGTAGTAGTAGTAGTAGTAGTAGTAGTGGTAGTAGCAGTAGTAGTAGCAGCAGTAGAAGTAGAAGTAGTCGTAGCCGTAGTCGTAGTAGTAGAAGTAGTAGTAGTAGTAGAAGTAGTAGTAGTAGTAGTGGTAGTAGTAGCGGTAGTAGTAGCAGCCGTAAAAGAAGTAGTAGTAGCAGTAGTAATAGTAGCACGCGTCGTCGTAATCGTAGTCGTAGTCGGGATGTCCCACCGTCAGCATGCCACTTCATGCCACTTCAAGTGGCGCATGCCACTTCAAGTGGCGTGTCGCACCGTGAGCATGCCACTTCATGCCACTTCACGCCACTTCAAGTGGCGTGAAGTGGCGTGAAGTGGCGAAATCGGTTTACGCACCTCCTGCGTGCTCAATGTATACACATATACATATACACATAGACACATAAATGCATATTTACATATATACAAATATACATATATACATATTTACATATATACATATATACATATTTAAATTTATACATATTTAAATTTATACATATGTATCTACATATATACACACATGTAATATATGTATATATTTTTACACACACACATATTACATATATACATACATATATATATATACATATACGTATATACATAATATATACATACACATATTATATACATATACACATGTATATTTGCATTTACATTTGCAATCATTTACATATAATAACATACATAATATACATAATATGTCATTCACATATTTTATTGCTAAAGCATGCTAATGAAGGGACTGTATGTTCGATTTTTCAACTATTGGAAGAGAAAATTCAAATAACTTTTGACATTTTGTCCCCACAACTGCTGTCAAGTGACGGCACAGCCTTTGTAACGCGAACGAAGACACTGTTGACATAACGGGCACCATTGTAACCGTAGCAGTCCTGCATGAAGTTGCGCGGCCTTTAAAAAGATGAGTTTACTTTTACAGGTACATTCCTGAAATGAAACATGTACCCAAAACAAATGAAAAAGATTGAAAAAGAACACCTTCAGCAGATAGAGGCCTGAATGTCAGTGTCGATTTTGTAATCATCCGCCCGTTCCATCATCGCATTCTTCATCACAGTCTGCTTCCCGATCGCAAAGTGGTCACATGTGTACTCTTCGGGTTTGTCGGCATTCATCCCACACTCATCCGCTGTAGCCAAATGAGTATCTTCAAACAAAATATAGTCGCCTCGCAGGGCAATAAAATGGTTCAAACTTGGGCTACATGTAGCTTATTATAGCTTATTGTAGCTTTGTCTGAAAATGGGATACTCCAAAATCATCCAAAATCCAATTGGTCATCGTCATTTTCCCCATTAAATTGCCATATGTGTGAAGGACCCAATTGGTACCCACAATTTCCAACAGACCCACTGGCCACATGGTTGGCTACTATCCCCGATGCATACCAAACGACATACCAATGATTCTTAATTGAACCCCCAATATTATACCATGTATTGCTCTTTAAAATAGCATGTTCCGTGGCATTTTCCATGGTGAAACATGACCATTTTCCATCATTTTCCCAAAAGTAGCGCGGTGCCTTGATCCATGCCCAACTTCTCAAATTCAGCGATGAGTTTCTTGGAGTCCACATGGCAATCGTCCGAAACCAGCCAGGGCTTCGGCAAATGGAGCCTGGCAGGGGTGATTTGGAAAGCCCTTGGGATTTCATGGGGAAAACCCCTATGGTTTCCATCCAGTGATCCCTATGGTTTCCGATGTTTCCGTTTCATGGGATATGAATGGAGCAATGAGGTATACCGATGGGATTTAACAGGATTTTAACGGAAGATTACTGGGAAATAATGGGATAAACCCCGACTGTCTACAGAATTTCCTACAGAAACCCAAGCCCACATCCATAAAAGGGTCTTTGCAATGGTGAGAAGCTAGGTTCTGGGTTTCCACGCGCAGGACTGTCCACAATAAGGGGTTTCCACGCCAAAATGACGGTAGATAGAGAGATTTTGTAGAGGGTCATGGATGGGGAAATACTCACCTGAATTATGCGCCACATTATCCACATTGACATGATGATGTGAAAACTGACCATGACAGTCGTCCGTAAGTCGATCTCTGGCATCCGCATGCTTGGTGTGGTCAAGTGCTTCACCCTGATTCCATGCGGAGATTGGACGTATGAGATACGTATGAGTGCCCACTGCACTCAACAATATTGAACATAATTCAAATATGCTACCTATTCCTAAAAAACTAGCAGGTTTTCCATTCAAAACCGAGAAAAGAATATATATATATATTATATTATTATATAGTTTTTTTTTAAAAAAAAAGGGGACCCATCTTTGCAATCAACAGCCAGGATGATGTTCGGACTACATCCCAACTTTTGGGCGTCGTTTCATGGTGGCAGGGAGCGTTTTCAGCTGCCCAAAGGCTTTGGTGACGTCGCAGATCACAAACTCGATGCCCTCGTCCTGGTGAAGTTGTTTCACCTGCCGGTGGTTTCAAGCTGAGAAAAAAAAAAACGTGAAATTGTAATCCCTTCCCCCCTAATATTAAACACCCCCTTAGAAACCATGGTTTAGTAGGGAAATTCCACATAATTGGAACCATTTATGGGGTGTCTACTGTAATATTAGGGTGATGGGATTAAATTATACCCTTGTTTCACCCGAAATATCCCGAAATGATCATTAAAATGATGCGCTTTTGATTTTGAAAATCATAAACCACGTCATAGTTGAGAGCCACCAGTCAGTTTGGTTTGTTAAAAAGGTGATGGTGCCTACGCGCTGACGTACCCTACCTGGAAATGTTGAAACAACCATTAGCAAACATGAAAATGGTTCCCTCATGTTCCCTCGACCATGCCAGATCGTATTTCGGGTGCACAAACAGCCACATTGATAGGAAACGACCAGTTGTCCAATGTGGTGTTATTTTAGCTTGGGATCATCCCATTTTACTGGCTGATTCTCCCATCCCCCCAATATCAAAGCCTCCCATGACTGGGCCCCAAGGGTTTCGGTCAGTTCAGGGGGTTATTATGGGTTATTGAATATTGAGGGGAATCCAATTTTGGAGTTTGGAGATTTCCTAAAATGGGCACAACCAGGGGGATACCCCCAAATCACCAAACATTTTCTCAAAAATTAAAACATGTTAGTATTGAAACCCATGGTTTTGGGATGCTTTGGGGATCCTCCATTTTAAGACAGCTCCAAGTGGGCACGGTGAAAACAGTCAGCTTTCTGCCTCAGCCGCTCGCATGTCCACAATGTCCAAAGTGATCACTTTGGTGTTCAAGCGCAAGGCACGGCACTGGTCAGCGAACCACAGAGCGGAACCTCCGCCTACCAAGGAAGAAGAACGGGTGCCATGGGTGATGCTGCGGTCATGTTGCCATCTGGCTGAAATTTCCTGAACAAATAAACAATTATTAAATCATCATCCTAAATATATGGTTTAAAACTACGCATTAGGTTTGAAATCACCAGCCAGGTGTGGTGTTTTGATAAAGGTTCAACATGTTATATAAATTTACATACAATATACTTTCGGGGGGCTGCCACATTGATGGCGGCAACCCCAATGGTGAAATTGTTCGTGTCTTCTCAGCACCGGAGGAAGACACAACCTCCTGCAAAATTCTCCATTTCAAGGGATGCCTGGATGCCTCCCAAAAACAGCAACAATGACAATCATGACAATCCTAACTCTACCATGCAAACCTCCGTGGAAAAAAATGACCCCTTGGACCCCTTGGATTGCCCACAAACCCCACTTAACCCATGTTTTTTAAGTTGACACCTGCAGTGCCAAGATCGAAGATGGTGCCAGGTTTGAGGCGTTGCAACAAACGCTGGTAATTCGCCAGGGAAATGGAATCCTTCATCAACACTGCCCCGCGCCAACTGCGAGATCCCTTCTTCTCATTTGCGTAGATGCCATTATGCATTCGCATGATGAACTCCTCATGTTTCGATTGAAAGCGAAAAAGACTTCGTGTACCAACAAACTAAGTGTAGATCGAGATGGAAGCCACCGAATTTGTCCGCCCTGTCAATGGAAATAACTCTTTGATTTTACTTAACATTTACGAATTTATGATATTTTTTATTATCACATTTATCACTTATCGGGTCTGACAAATACAGCTCCAAAATCTCCAAGGTCCTCTTGTTTCTTTGGTTTTCCTTGGTTTCCTTGATATTTTTCTGGACATTTCTGGACATCTTCCAACCCTTGGCGTCCGCCCATGGGGCCCATGATGGTCCATGTTCAGTCCTTGGACAGCACGGAGTCCCAGGAACGTTCTCGCAGGTCCTGGAGGTGGATATCGGGGTCCTGCTCCAATTCGCGAAGATGCGAGTTGTAGTCGTTGTGATCGAAGGCTGGGGTTTTGCCAGCTTTTCCATCCTGGAAACGTGCGAAAATCATGGGACAAGCAGGAAGACCATCAGAAAACCATGGGAAAATCCTGGGGTATATCTCCAAGAATAGGACAAGGATGGATGATGTTTCTCAATATGTACTGGAGGTCAATGTGATGTGCATTCGTTGCCCAAAAAATTAGAACTGAAATTTCCGTGCAACGGAAAAATCAAAGAAGGCGCTTTGAAGTAGAAGTGGAAAGGAGTAGAGACAGAGAAGTGACAGTAGCAAAAACATATGAAAAAAGGGAAGAAAGTAGAGAAGTGAAGGAAATAGAGGAGTGTGAAGACGGAAGAGCCGTGAAGAAGAGTAGAGACATGTAGAGACTAGAGAAACGAAGAAAACAGAGAAGTGAACGAAGCATGGCATAGAACTGAAGAGAGCAGAGGAATGAGGTTGAACCACGGTATCCGTGGGAACTTTGGGCTGAACCGTGGGGATCCTCGGGTATCCGGCAACTCATTGCGGACGAAAGTAAAGAAAGAGAATGAGGTAATGAGGTGTCAAGTCAAGGTTCAAAGGATTTCAAAGGTGTCAATGAAAGGGAAACATACGGATCAAGAGGAAGGCTAGGGGTCTGAAGAAAAGGTCAAGAGAATGAGATATCACGATTCAAAGGTCAATGAAGGGGAACCGTAGGGTTGGCAACAGAAAAACTATTCAACGGAATGGGATGATGTCAAGATTTGGAACTATCAAAAAAACGAAATGTCAAGAGAACAGTATCTCGAGAACAGGAGACGCCAAGAGAAAGGAGTCCAAGAGAAAGGCATGCCAAGAGAAAGATCTGGTCAAGAGACCGACTCAAAAAAAATGGTGCCATCAGAGCAGAACGTCGGTGCCATCAGAGCAGGACGTCAAGAGAAGGAGGTGTCCAGGAGAAAAGCGGGTCAGGGGGAAGAGAGATAAAAGAAAAATGTCCCAACAAAAGAAATGCTAAGAGAAAGAGACGCCGAAGAAAAAAAATGTCAAACGAATTGAAGCGGACCACCGTTTTGGGTGGTCTCGATGCGCTCCTATGTTTGCGTGTTCCCAAGTTTTCCACAATTTCGCAATTTCCAACGCCCGGATTGCCCGGGTTGCCCGGGTTCTACTTTCATTATGTTATGTTGGTGCACTTATGCATCACGGACATGCATGTGGCGACATGACTGGGCACCCATGAGGTTCTCATAATTTGATTCCAACGCTGGTGTCTAAATATTATTGCTGAAAGGCCCCCTTAATTTACATATCTTGTCTGACGTGCCTTTTCAACAGGCAACCTGGATTTTCAGCGCCCATTCAGGGCTGAAAAAAAAATCAGGAAAAATTGTGCGTGAGGCCCAAACGCCAAATGAAATCTAGCGTCTCACCTTTCTGGTGCCCCAGTTAGCGGCTGAATTGTTTGGACAAACATGCCTGGCTAAAAACCAGTGACCCATGCCTCTCACTACCTCTCATGTTGAAATTCCAACTTTGGATGAAAATTTAAGCTGGACGTTTGGCCTATAATTTTACGTTTGCGCGTCGTGTTTATAAAGAAATGTTTTCGTTTCCTTCGTTTCCAACCGCGACAATGCCACTAGCAGAGTCCTGCGCTTCGGGTTCCAGCACACCATTTTTCGTTGCTGGATCTGCCAAGTTCAACAACCCATTCTTCACTTCGAAGTCTGAGTGTGGGAAACCATTCGTTTCCGTGCAAGGCGCCATCAGGAACGAGGATGCGAAAATGACGCCGGGTTTCCGGCTGCAGAGAATTTCAATAAACATGATATGTTAACTTCTTCGCTTCATCTGTCAATGTTTGTTCGTTTCTTCTTCGATCTCTTCCAATTGGCCGAGCCAACGGCAAAATTGGTACAACGCAGCCAATTGCATTCGATGCGTGCAATTTTCGTGCGTGAAGATCCCCATCATGGTGCAGAGGTTTGCAAAACAAAAACACGCAAAAATTGACACATGACCATTTGGAAAGATTCATAGAAACACAATTGCCATACTCTCCTCATCATGATACCGTTCATAAAATTTGGTGGCCCAAATATGCCCAAATGCTAGCCGTCTTGGATCGACTTGCCACCAGCTACTTCCCCCCCTGCTAATCCTGCCGGAAACTTTGGCCGTATAGGCGAACATCATACCCGTTTGGGCTAATCACTTCGTTAAATGTGCGGGTCGGGACGTTTTTCCCCATTGACCTCTTGATGCCCAAACCTTGTCACCGGGACCCTGACATCTTTGCTCCCTTGCATTTCGTCCATTAGCAGGTAAATGATTGCCCGGGTCATGGTATTCAGGTAACCGCCGTTCAACATACTATACAATATGTTTTTCATTCATGTTGCTGCGTTCCACCAGCCCCATTTAAATACATAAACATCTGCAACCAGAAAATTTAAAGCGTCCGATCCGAATGTGTCCAATTCACGACCGATTCAAATGGGTGTTTCTGAGAATTCGACTTTATAGTTCCCCTTTGGGAAATTAGTTGCAGTTGTAATTTTACTAAAACATAATAAAACACATAACGCCATCCTTTCCAAGTGACTGTTTTCTGGAGGAATGAGCCTACGCGCGCGCTATGCAAGCACTACTTGAGGCCAGGGTGGGGGAAAAAATGCCTAAAACAACAGTTCATAGAAATTTTTTAATTTCAATTATAACAGTCTAAGCACAGATTTTTAATACTGTTGATTACTTCATTTTTTCAACAATATCAAAACTATAGTGAAAATCACAACAGTCAAAGTATAGTTACCTCATCCATTTTTCAAAATCACAACAGTTCAAAGAATAATACCAAAAAAAAACATAACAGCAAAATAATAAAACCCAAAAACCGAACAATCAACAAACAACAGCAAAATCATCACCACTTACCATCAATCACCTCATTCATTTTTCGCAAAATCATCACTGCCACCTATATCATCATCTCATTGATTTTCATAAATCATAACTACTAACCATCTATTACCTCATCCATTTTATAAAAATTACAACAGTCAATACATCATCACCTCATCCATTCCATCCCCAAAACGGAACAACCAAACAACAAACAAAAAAAACAGACCAAGCAAAGCACGATATAAAAATCAAAACAGAGAACAACAATAAATATAAATCTATACCCTGTAATAATCCTATCTTAATCATCCATAATTCCAATTTAAAAAAAATATATTAGAAATATGTTAGTAATAAATGTCTTCAATAATTACGAATTTAAAATGAAATGCCTGTATTCCTATTGTACTATCTTTATCTTGGTTTTCTCTTATGTCGGCTTTTATTTCTTCAACTGCTTTCTCTAATAGTTCATCTACATTATCTTCATCCACATATTCATCAAAATCATACATAAAATAAATCTCTACAAAATTCCGGTAAAACTCAGTGGATGCGGGAAGTGTACCAGAATAAATACTTGTGCGATTTCAAGATGCAGCAACCAATAAGTGAACAACAGCCAGTGGAGCGAAGCTATTAACCCCTATTTTGCGGGCACCTTGGGCCAAACATTGTTGGCCAAGTACATGTTTTGGACCAAAACCCCGGATTACAGGATTAAGGAAATGAGTTATCATTGTTGATAACTATTGAATAGCCTATTCCCGTTGTAAAACCCCTGACATTATGCACACTTTACATTCAGTGGCAACAACTCCGATACACCCCCTCTCGAGTGACTCCGGCCAGTGGTTCGATCGACACCAACCTAGTCTTCTGGAGCTTTCTTGTATGGAAGAATGCGTGGAGCCTTCTTCTTATACCTCTTCTTCACATTGGCCTTAGGTTTCGGATTGTCCTGAGTAGGTACAGATACTGGCTTGGCATCAGCGTACGAAGGCTGCAGAGATTCATCAAAATTCTCGTGCATCTTCAGACCAGTGATGACCAGTGTTCGTGGTACGGGTGACCACATATCCATTGATTATTCCCAGAAGGTCCAACGCGGGTCCCCAAGGTTCACCTGCTAATCCCTTAGTGAAGATATCAACTTTCTGGTAGCGGCTGGCAACTAGCTGCAGCTCCACATCATCCTTGTCCAGCTCCTCCTTGAGGCTGCCTAAGTTGATACGATGGGTCCGCTTCATATGCCGTAAACACTTGGAATAGCCAGCAGAAACCACTTTTGCTGTGGCTTTCTTATCCTCACGGATCAACAAGCGCACTGACTTTCTGAATAGGACTGAAAACAGCTCAAGCAACGGCAAACCCTCATCAAATAGAGTAGTAACCATAGCTGCAGCTTCAACTTCAGTTGTTGATCTAGAGACCGCACCCTGCTTTTTGGACATCCAAGTCAATGGAAAACGGGCATTCTTTCCACTTAGTTGTGCCCACCCACCGGTAGTGGAATATGTGTGCTCGTCATCACCAGAAAAGTCCGCATCGCAAAACAGTTCAACGTAAATGTCATGCAAATCATCACCTACGTGGCCAGTGAGTAAGTGGTCTTTAGTTTCATTCAAATAACTAATCGCCCTGAAAAAATGGTTGTCACACTCCGTGGTCCACTGTTGTACCTTAGTAGCCAACCAAGTGGTCACTCTCAGCATGTCAGGCCGAGATAATCGCGCCAACCGCGTCAGTTTCATGAGCACAGAGCTCGCTGAACCTGCAAGTTCGCCCTTAGCTGGAGGGTCCTCAATCATAGTGGTCTTTGAGAGAAAAGGTGTGCTAACCTTCTTAAGTTTTGAGTGACCTATCAGTCGAACATAGTCATTGACAATGCTCCCACCATAGGCCCTCATGTCGAAGGCGAATAGTTCTTGATTTCTGAACTCTACAAATGAATGATGTCCTCCCAAGAACCAACCAAGGTCACCGATGTCATCCAACATGATTCTTTTAGAAAGGTCTGCCCAAAAGGAATCGTGGTATGAACTGCCTCCGCTCAAAACGAAGTCATCCACATAAACAACCAATGCCAGATGACCATAGGATGGAAACACATATGTGCTTGGGAATTCTGGAATCTTCGTGGCACCAATGTCTACCAGCTCCTGTTCCAGTTTCCTTTCCCAATGTGCTCCGGCCTCTGGATGGCCATACAAGCTGCGAAGCAGCCTGATGACCGGCCTCCGGTACAAGGGTTTTCTTTCCATCTGAGTCAAACCAAGTTTCCGGCCAAACCTCCCTGGGCAACCTGACCCATGTTTCGGCCAATGAGTTCAAAACACTCTCTAGGTACGCCTTGATGGCGTCTGCTGACGAAATCTTGTGGCCCTTCAGCAGCCCGTATGCTATGATGGCGTTGGCCGCAGTGATCGAAGCTGGGGACGCGCTCATGGTTTGATATAGCGCGACATTTCCCTTCGCAGTCTTCGCTGCGTCACTCCTGTAGCATACTCTACCTTTGAGGGTTCTGAACTTTGGTTCTAGCTCAACGTTCTTCTCGCTACATATGGCTAGTAGGTCTGCTAGGTGGATGGTCTGGCCATTTTCCATGGCTCGTCTTTTCACCACCTCTTCCTCCTCAACCGATCCCAAATCCCATGTGCCCATGTCCCCAATCCCGTCGAACTCCTTCTTGATCGCAGCTATCGCGTCAGCGCGCGAGAGAACTTCTGACCTCGGGAGCTGTCTGGTGACTGCTGCTGGCTGCAACTCTTCGTCGTCATCAGGCCTCGGTGGGCATATGGGTACTTCATCTTCAGGGAACTGATCTGGAGCTCTGGATGGTTCGTATTCAGTTTCTACACCATCCTGTATCGGTTTCGGGGTTGGTCCCACTGATTCGCCACGTCTGGAGAAGATGGCGTCAAACCTTGTCTTGCATTCTTGTGAGTGTCGGTTGTCCCATGGAGCATCCTGCACATCCCTTGGTGAAGCCATGTTTCATCAACCTTGACCATGTTATGTAGGCGTGTCTTGGAGGAGGAGGAGGAGGAGGAGGAGGAGCGTCAACAGGTAAAGAAGCAATGTACACATCATATGGCAAAACCCCTTCCACGAAAGACCTATCATAGATAGTTTTCTTGACTTCTTTCTCCTCATCTGACATTTGTCACATGGCATTATGCGCAGCTAGTGCAAGAGGAAATTCAATGTATTAGTCCAAGATTTTCACATTGCCACGATACCGAAGCCCAGGGGCTAGGTGCCAACCGGCAAACAACCCCGGACGAGTTGTGGGCTCTGCCATGCCGTCCCCCTTGGAACATCTTGGAACGATAGAAAACCAACGCGCCTTTGGGAAAAACATGTTCCGGTTTTGGGAAAAACATGCTCCACTTTTGGTGAAAAACTGTCTCGGTTTGGGAAGAGATTGGCTCGGTTTTTGGATTGGCTTGGGGCAAAGTTCAAGTCTCACTGTTTTGAACGCTGAGCATTTTTGGTTTTTTGATTTTTGAGGTTTTAGGAGTGGGTGTCATTAAAAATAAGTCAACCGGTGGGAAGTTGGAAAAGTAAATTGTTCAAACCTATAAATTTTGATGTTGAAAATTGGGTCTGGCTCCGTTACTCAAAGTCTTGCGCGTGAAGGCACGCAGAGATGACATCAGGACAAATCTAATGCGACTGACTGAAGATAAAAAAAATATTTAAACAAACATTGAAATATATAATCAAATATAGACACGAAATGCCTTGTTAATTTGTAAGTAGTGGAGTTGAAATCCCGATGACAAATGAAACCTTTGACTTTATTTGGAATGGTTTTGGAAACAAAGAACTGACTGACAGCGAAGCGTCTTCTTCGT